ATACATCTTGATGAGATAAAGTGAGAAATCCTCTCATTTTGGACTGGAATGTTGTCTGCAAATGGGTATTGGACAGTTGATACAACTGGCTGAAAATTTCATGAAAATCTGGTAATTATGATTACCTTGGATAGAATAAATATTAAAATTTAAGTCAGGGAATTGAAAGTAACATAAATTGGTATCAAGGGAACATGAAAAACTTTGAGTTAAGGAAATATAAGTTGGAGACGTTAAATCCCTATGCTATTCTATTGAGACCTATAGAATGCTTCATTTTTTTTGACTTAAAGAAATATTCCAGTTAGAGAAGTTTTACTGTATTAATATGACTAATTTCTCAAAAAATAATTTTAATATAATTTAGAAATGATTGAATGACCTATATAAGAATAACCAGATTCAGAAAAATATAACAATTAGGATAATGACATTGTTGAAATAAAAAATAAAAAAATTTTGCAGGAAGATCTGTCAAAATATAAATAAATAAAGAATAGATATAGAAAATATCAATAAAGAAAAATTTCATTTTTGTTTTTATTAGGAATTTATCCTAAAATGCTATTTATTTGTACAAAAAGTTCTGTACAAAGAGAAAATAAATAGGAATAATTGCCAAAGTTTATTATTAAAAAAGTTATATTTTCAATGTGTGAATTAAATGAATTATTTTAAAAATTAAAATACAATATAATTAAAGTTTATCATATATACATTTTAATAATTCTTTTATTTAAAATACTACAGTGAAATTCTGAAAGAATAATTTTAGTTTGCTTATTCCTGATTATTATTTATTCTAAAAAATTTAATCTTTTTGTAATTGAAAAAAAAGAAATTATTTTAGAAACTATCAGTTTGTCTAGAGCAGTGATTCTCAACCACAGTGATTTTTGAAGTGTGCCGTCACTGTGAATGTCCCATACATAAGTGACGTGAGACAATCGGTTCTACCTTCCTAGGGTGCGTTTGGAAATTGTAATCGGTGTTACCAGAAACAGCCAGTAGTTACTAAGACATTTAGAAAATGTGATCTAAATAACCAACTGCATTTAAAAATCACTGTTATGATGTCACCGGTTGTCCTTACGGTACTTACCGAAGTAACCGTGTGTGCCGCCAAATTTTTAAATTATTAAAAATGTACCGCGACGAAAAAAAGGTTGAGAATCACTGGTCTAGAGGTTGACTGCCAAATGTAAAAAAATTAGATTAAATTAATTTTTACTTTAGAATATTTTGAGAGAAAAAATGCTTGATCTGGAGTGGAACCTGCAATTCCTGTTAACTGTGCAGATGCACAGTTTTATTACTGCTTTACAATTCTTTACAAATTCGCAAAAAATATAAAATTCGTTCTAACACACTTTGTAATTTCAAAGCTGAGGATATTCTTTTAAAAAAGCAAAATCCTGTCTGATTAATAAATTTGTTTTGGTTTCCTGAATTTAGTATAGGGTTGGCAACTAAGTGATTGCGGATTTTAAATGAGAAGGAAAATTCAAAATTTTTGCTTAAAAATATAACTTTATTCAATTAGGTATTGTCCATTTTTGTCAATGACCTCTTGCCATCTTTCAGGCAGTGTCATAATTCCATGTTCATAAAACTTTTGATTTTTGCCAGCAAAAAACTGAATTAAATGTGTTTTTACATCATCAGTGCCATTAAAAATTTTACCATTTAAGGAGTTCTGCATGGAACAAAATAAATGGTAATCTGAAGGCACAAGGTCAGGGCTATATAGTGGATGTGACAACTAGTGATGTGCCGGATATCCGTATCCGTATCCGCGGATATCCGAGGGAAAAAAAAGATCCGTATCCGTTACTTTTTAGCGGATCTTTAACGGATCTTTTATCTTAATGAATTTCATTACTTATATGAAATTTTAAAGATAGGTAGCAATAGCACATTCGTCATTTACTATCGTAAAATATTTCCATATTACACTACTAAATTTTTTTGTCGGCATTGTTTTTATTTTAATTTAACTCAACAATCTCCAAAAACACAAACGTAATCTACGCTATCCCGTGTCACACTAGCCACAAACCAGTGTTTCCCAACGTGGGGCCCACACCCCACAGGGAGCAATTGGATTGCTAAGGAGGGCAATTCGAAAATGGACTTGTACTTGTCCAGAGTTTAAGTTAACAGTATAGCCGCTGTATATGTTAGGGAGACTAGAATTTTAGAAAGGCTTAGGTGGGGCATAGCAAGAAAAGGTTGGGAAACACTGCACTAAACTATTGTGGCGGTACGCTATATTTTTGTAAATATTAATTTTAGTTTAGTTTCGTTTCTTCTTTCTACCCTTTGTTCTATTGTTCTATTTTGTTCTAGAACTTTCTTATCTATTCCCTGTCCCTTGGGTGGGATGAGCAGTTCCTAGAAATTTGAGGAGCAAAGGTGTAAGCAGGAGCCGGAGAAAAAAGAGAAGTGACGTAGCAGGTCATTCGTAAACTGGACAGCAGAGTGTACGGACGAGGTGAGAATACTGGGAGTCGTATTTTCAATGACCGGATAGTTCAGAAAAAAGATCGTGTTTTAAGGTCGTATTGACGACTGTGGAAGAAAAAATCCTAATTATTGAAGAAGAGAACTGGCCAGTTATAAGAGAAGGGCGTGTGTTATCCCACCCAACAGTATGCATAAAGAAACAAGCCGAAAAAAGGGACAAAACCCCAGATATCCCTATTTCTATCTTATCTATCAATTTTCTGTCTTCTTAATTCTATCCCTTTTTCTGTTATTAGTGTTAAGTTAGTGTTTAAGGTTAGTTTTAAGGTTCCGGGTTATATTGTCGCGATCGGGATCTGTATTGTACACGTGATTTGGATACAGCGAACTATTATTATCGCTGTAATTTCGCATGCTACTGTTTGTACCGTGAAGTTGGAATCCCCCGAAATAGAATCTGTATAAAGACGCAAAAAAGCTCAATTGGAAAATTATATTAACTTTTGTTACTTTATCCTGTCTGCCTTTGTGGTGAATTCTAATTTAGCACATTTTTACACCATAAACAAAAACACGCGCAGTGCAAGTCAAAACACGTCGCGTTATTAACGCAAAGCGTCAACTATCGGTCCAAGGTCACACGCACCGGCGCTGACTGAGTACGAAAGTTGAGATCCGTATCCGTATCCGCGGATCTAGACACGAATGATCCGTATCCGTATCCGTATCCGCGGATATACATTTTTAACGATCCGGCACATCACTATTGGTGTGGAAGGAATGTATCATCATCTTCCCGCTCAACTTGGATCTCAAAATAGCAGGTCCTTGATTACAAAATCTTGTTTAGGCACTTGCATATATTGTCAATGTTTTCAGCATGCTTCCTTGCAACTAGAATGTCATTGACATATAGAAGGATATATTTTAATGAACCATCCTCTTCTGTTCTTGAGTATAAACTTAGATCAGCTTTGCTTGGCACAAACCCAAGGCCTTTTAATGCAGCATTGGCTTTCTTTTTCTTATTCCATGCTCTTGCAGATAGATTACTTTAAACTATAGATGGTATGATTTAGCTTGACTACAAGATTTTCTTGTTGAACAGAAATGTACTCGGCAAAATAATTAATCAAGTAACAAACACCTTATTCGTTGCCAAGGGAGTTTATTAACCCCTTTATCATTTCTTAGAATCTTGTACAGATTCACAGTACTTGTACTCGATTTAAGATTAACATTGATCCTTTACTGTCCACAATCTCCTTCATGACGGTTCTTACATTTTTGTTGAACGTACACTTTATGTATTTACTAGGCCCTTGTATCGCCTATCTCAAATTTTCTAATAATGCCAGCGATTATGTTTCTCCTGTAACCCAAGGTTTCTGCTATCTGCATAATCCTTTTTATTTCTTTATTTCTTTTCATAATGTTATTGCAATATAGAAAAGCCCTTCTGACTAAGGCACGAAAAGTTGCTAATTTATAATGAAATGGATCATTGGACTGCGCAGGAATGTAGAGTGGGCTATGTGTTGGTTTGGTATACACATTAGTAGATAAATGCCCTTTCTTAAAGATGATATTGATATCCAAGAAATGTATCACTACGGAACTTTTCTGCTCTAGCTTCAGGTTTAGGCTGTCTTTGTTATCGTTGGTTCTTTCTATAAAATTACTGATTCCTCGATTACTTTTCCATAGTATAAAGAGGTTACTTTTCCATAGTATATCGTCCACATATCTCTTGAAGTAAACAATATCATTTCTGAAGCTATGCACAACCTTTTCCTCTATTTTTCTAACCACCAATTCACACAGAAGCCTCGATATTATTGTGGTCTAGTAAATACGCAAAGTGTGCATTCAACAAAAATGTAAGAACCGTCATGAAGGAGATTGTGGACAGTAAAGGATCAATGTTAATCTTAAAACGAGTACAAGTACTGAATCTGTACAAGATTCTAAGAAATGATAAAGGGGATATTAAGAAGGAAGATAAAGCAGGAGTTTATAGAATCCCGTACAAGAACCAGCAGTTAGGAATAGAAAAGGAGTACATAGGAGTTACAACGAGAAACCTAGGAGTAAGGGTCAGAGAGCATAAATATGATATTAGAAAAAGATCTAACACAACGGTTCTGGCTTAGAAGGCTCAGGCCCAAGGATCCGTACTTAGGTGGGAGGATGTGGAAATCATCAGACAAGTGCACTCCCCAACTTTAGTGAAAACTGCTGAAAAAATGGAAATATATAGGAGCAAGCTAGATGAAAAACGTATAAACGCCAGAGATGCAGAGGGCCTACCCTCAGCATGGAAGTATGCCATTAAAAAACTTACAAGTAACTCTTGAATTGCGCCATATCCACAATTGCGTTATGGGAACCTTAATGATTTTTATTGGTTAACGGATAGTGGCTTATAATAATATTTAATAGTTGTATGTTATTTATTTTTACATTTATGTATTTTTACGCTTTAATTTTAATTTTAATTAGTTGCTACGTTGTCNATATAAGAGAACCTCTAATGCATCTCTGAATTTTTTCCTTTCATCTTCTTTGATTTTTCTCAGCTCTGGAGATATATAAAAAGCATTTTGCTGTATGTTTTTTAATTCACTAGCAGTCAGTATAGTAGTTTTAATAGTTGGTTCAGGTCGAGGAATACTAAAAATATAAATATCCAGTTATTATTTGGAGCTGAAACCAAATTAAAATGCAAATATTTTTTCTGACAATAAACTAACAAAAAATTTATCATCATTAGACCTCAGATGAATGTAAAGCTTTATTTCTTTCAAAACAGACAATAATGGCATAGAAATCTGTGTGTGTGTGTGTGTGTGTGTGTAAACTGTAAGATTTTATCTCTGTTGAGTGATAGTGACTCTCCATTACCTCATAGTCCATCTCTATACCATGTGTCTAATGGCAGGTGAGCCATTAAGAGCCTTTCTACTCTAAAATATTCTTTACATACCTCCCGATACATCAAAAATCAGATTCTAATTTTTTAAAGATTCCTCTCAACTATTTACTAGAAAGAACCTTATAATCTGTACATTAAACATAATCACTAATCAATTTAATTTTGTTATAATAGATCATAAGATATCAATCCTGCATACTATCAGGATATAAGTCTTTGCTGACAATTTATGTCAAATCACAAATATTTTTAGTCTTTGTGATGCAATTTTAAACACTGTTTCGGGATAATTTCCAGTTGTTTTGATTTTAAAATTATTCACTACTGCTGGAAACAAGTTTATAGAAGTGTAACTGATGAAAGTTGCTCCTGGATCCATCCCATTAAGCATTTTGCTCGTATAAGAATAGTTTACATTGCAAGAAGGGCATCAATGATGCACAACAGAGATAAAAATCCTGATCCGTATAAAACAAATTGTATGAAATGTAATATGGAAAAATATAGTGAATATAGTGTAAAATAAATAAATGAATTGGTTTAAAACTTACATTAATTTCCTAAAAACTCCATTTTCGAACAAATTAATGACATCACAGTGAGTTCCTTTAAACCTCTGAGGAGAATGTCTTTTTAAGCAGCTCTATATTTCAGAATATAAATAAAATTTGAATCAAATAAACAAACGAGTATAAAACAAAATTTATACAGATCTAAGTCGAACAATACATAAATAAACAATAGAATAAGGACTGGCGTGTAAGATACAAAATACCGTTTACCATTTTCCGATTTTGATGAAAAAATCTATTTCAAATTCAAATTTTCAAATGTTGCTATGGTAACGCGTAAATAACAAAAACAGAACTTCCCCTAGCGGCATTATTAACCAAATTTAATTCGCCAAACAACGAAATTAATATAAATGTCGTATTTATTCAAACAAACCATTTATAATTAGACCTGTAATTTATAGCAAAGAATTATACTTGTTTCAAATTTGTAATGTTAACAGAATATGTTTGTAATTTTACGACGCAGAGTTAATGTCACCGGCTAGTTTAGTTATATAAATCGATTTCAAAGTAAATTAAACTAATTCATTAAACGAAAGAGCAAGTGTAAATCGTATAAAATAAAAGTTTCCAATTAGCAGAACAAGATGCAAATTAAAAAATGCGATCTTATCAATTTATGTACCGATGTGCTCACTCTGCTAATTTGTACAGCACTGAGACAATGCCTTATATTCACGAACCCTACTGCGACACGATTAATACTTTTACGATTGCACGAGCAATGCAACATACTCGTGCAATACCGGAAAGATGTCTTTAGCGCTTGGATAAATGCTAAAGTAAATTCGAATATCTGTCAAACCTCGATTTTGCATCACGTCAGTTTGTGTTTGAAATCAACGAGAAAACAGAGTGAGGTGCACAAATCAAATACCGCAAACAATAACAATTGTACGTGGTCGTGAGGTTTTCGCGTGAGTTTGAGTGTACGATTTGACTCTGACAACGTAATTTGGAACGAAAAATCGTGTAATTAGTGATTCATGGATACCGAAAGTTTCTCTGTTTAATTTAATAGACGATACACAGTCAAACCTCTGAACGGTTACTGACGAGAACATAAGGAGCCTTTTCGGAACCCGTTTCACTTCTTACAAGTTGGGGATCGTTATGCCGTTTTCATATATATGGTATAATTTATGTGGTAATGCTATAAGAGAAGAAGTAATAACCACGTCCAAACAATATCCCTAATTATAATTTAAAATTATCTAATAAAATACCAGTCTTAATTAGAACAGACTTAAATCAAAATATTTCAAATAAACACTATTTGCAAGGTCCTGCATCTTAGGAGCCCAGGTCAATAGCTCCTCCCCTCCCTTCCCTGGTTATTGCATTGGAAGTCGCATTAAAAAACGAACAATGATACCGGGAAAATGCCCAAAAATTTTCTAAAACAATGTGTTTGAAGTTAACACTGCACGTGTGACCCCCTAATTCAAATTTTCCTGGGGTCCCATGAGGCTATATAGCTTCACTGTCATTTACACGATCAAATATAATTTATTTAAAGCATTATTTGTCACTTATCATCGAAACTGAAATAACTTTAGCTTATTTTTTTATGCTATTTTTTTCCTGAAAAAATACCAAGCTGATTAATCTATCCATTTCGAATACTTACATATAACAAAAATGTAATTTGGCAGTAATTTTGCTGTATATTTCATCAGCTTTAAATATTAACCATATTTCATACACTTAATAAAATACTTGAGTAAATTTGTTAAGTAAAACTTGTGTCACCAGATTTCAATCGCATACCTCACTAGAACTAAAAGACAGAAAACGGGACTTGCTGTCATACAATAAAAGGTAATGAGAGAAAATATTATTTGATGAATTTAATGGATAGAGATGTACAGTAGAGCCTCGATTATCCGACCCCCGATTAACCGACACCTCGGTTAACCGACCGTCCTAGTTGGCAAATTTCAAATGTCCGCTAGTGATGTGGCGCTACAATATTTGGCTATGTCTTGGATACTTTAAGATTATTTTTACG